GGGTTTAAGTGGAGAGAAAATGTTTTGAAAATGATGTACAAATGCGCTTTACACAATTGATGTGTGTATGGATTGGGATAACAGTTGTATCAGCCCCTAATAAAATGTTTTTAAAAAAATTAAAATTCCACTATCTCTTAATTCCATTTTTTTCTGCAAACTTGTTTAGCCCACTTAGTAACACAATGAAGGATAGCCTTTAAATGCAAAGGCAAACTTGCTTAATCTTACGACCTTCATGCCCTGCTATAGTTGCTATTCATCTAGTTTTGTCCTATGGATAGAACCACTGTCTTTTATTTCTTAAATTAAAGGGAAGCAATCATTACCTTCACTAGTTTTCAAATAAATAGAAGCAAAAGAGGGGACATTACTTATTACAGGAAAAAATATTTTATTGATTGGAAAATGTATTCTGTATGTTTATTGGGAATTGTTTTCCAATGTAGGTGTGGCGAACCTGATTATTGCGACATTGCCTCAAGAATAGAATTTCCTTCATGTCAATCCAACTGTACTCTGCTCCTGTTTCTGGCATTGCTTTCTGGATCAAAATGAAGTTGGACCTCCTTCAAAGTATCTAATGTTGAGAATAGGATTTGACACCTCTGGGTTAGCATGTATTCAACCTTGAAGATAAATGACATTCTATCATTTATATGTGAAGGTAAATGACATTTCATCAAATGTGTTGAAGAAGACCAGGCACATGGTCACTAACAAAGAAGTGGAAGCCAAGAGAGTTCTGTCTGCTACTTAAAATATCATATTTGTGCACTTTTGACCCATGCCCACTGCTGTCTAGTTGGTTCCAATTAATTGGGGCACCAACAGAACACTATTCACTTGGGCTTCAATTAGGACTATCCAATCCCCGATTCAGCAAAACGGGCCCATGTCTCTCATGTTTAAGGTGAAAATCTTAGACGTATCTATCGTCTTGATGTCTGTTCCTTAAGTCATCTAATTTTTGCCATCTGAATAAGTAGTAGCATTACAATGACTGCTCACCTCCACTAGAAAAATAAACATGTAAAGTGTGATAGAACGGAAGGATGTAAGTAGCTATAATATGGTTGAACTTCCAAAACAACCAGAGAGCCCTTCATCTTTAAACTTCTAGTTAAGTAAATAACAATATTTACCTTTATACACTACCACTATTAGTTGGTTTCATATAAAACAAGAAAATTCTTTATTGATATAGGATATAAGTAATCAGTAGATATAAATTTGGATTTTACCTTTGCCAACAATTATCTAAATTTTGTCATATATAATTTATATATTAGAGCATACATAAATACAATAAATAATTTTCATTAAAATGAAGACTAATTTCTCTTTCATATAAAATTTTATACCCATAATACACAAATCAGAGTTGCCATGTTTTTGGTGAGAGAGCTGTAAGGAGCTATATAACTTACTGAAAAAGCTAAAAAGTATGTTTCATGTTGGCTCATTCACTACTTTGTGGCATTTTCTTACCTGCAAGAAAGAGAAATACAAATTGAAACAATGAGATACCATCTCATACTAACATTCTTTGCTAAAGTTTTTTTTAAAAAACAACATAATAAATGCTGCAGAGGATGTGGAGAGATTGGAATGCTCATTTATTTCTGAGCATTGCAGAATTGTATAACCACCATTGAATACAGTACTGCATTTCCTAAAACAAATGCAAATAAAAATAAATTACCATCTGGTTATTTATCTACTTGGTATATACTATTAAGAAATAAAAAAACATAGCACAAATAGGTATATGCACACCCATATTTTTTATAGAAATGTCTCTAATAGCAAAACGTTGGAAACAATTAAAAACCCCATCTGTAGAGGAATGACACATAAACAGTATGGAAAATTATGCATCCTTAAACAAATTAGGAGTCTGTCAAACACTTCATAGCAGGGAAAAATTGGAAGGTATTATACTCAGAAAAGGTAAATATTTACGGCACCATTACTATAAAGGGAGAAAGAAAAATAAAAGTGGTTTTCACAACAATCAAAAAGATTTGGAAGACTACAATGGGGGGAGGAGTTGGGAGGTGAGTGAAGGGACGTGGCGGTGAGGTGGGAAGATACTAGCAGAAGAGAAGAAGAGAAGAGGAAGAGGAACCACATGTCAGGAGCGTGGGCCTAATGAGATACTGTTATTGTTTTGATGAGAGATGGGGCATACAAATACATTTAATATGTTTTTCTTTGCATGTGTTGTTATATTTCACAAATAAGAACAACATTAAAATAAATAAAATTTCAAATACGGAAGGACAAGAGCCTCAAAAGCACTCTAGATTCTTTACCCATCAGACCTAAACACAGGTATGAGTGATTATAAATGGAGGAAAAGTACAATTAAAACTGATTTAATTTTGTGTGTATATGACACACAAGCTAATTTCAAACAAACAATAGAATCAATTCTGCTGTGTTTACCAGCACCTCTCACAGCATATCTGCACAACACCTTTCCTTTTACTTAGCATTGGCTCAATATGCGGATACTGCTTTGCAATTCCATGAAATGTTATCGTTATTTTTTTTTGAATAGCTAAAAAATTAAATGATTTAGCCATTTTGTTTTCAACATTAAAAATGCTCTACTAGTCACTAATAGATTTAGCACACCAAATCTTAAGACAAAGGGCACTGCACATGAAGAAGAGGTCCACCCCAGTCTTTCCAGATCGAATGCAGACTCACTCTTCTTCCTGTGTGTGCGCTGCTAGCATTAGTACAAAAACCAAGACAGTGCCCCAGTTTCTGTAATGTTAGCACATGCTTTTACAAGAAGGAGCTCTCTTTATTAAAGTTAATAAAGTGTTATCTTTATTAAATTTAGGTTTTCCTTTTCCCTCAAACCCAAACAAGTCATAAATCCCTTTATAGTCTGTGTATCTATATGTCATATGGTAATTTTCATTGAAAAAGAACATCTACCTTACAAACTGGCTAGACCAGAGGATGTACATTGGTACAGATAGCAACTGGAAACACAGGGAATCCTGGACAGATTACTCCTTCAGGACAAGTGGTGAGAGAGACAATGCCTGGAGGGTGGAGGGAATGTCGGGTAGAAAGGAGGAACCGATTACAAGAATCTACATATAGCCTCCTCCCTGGGGGGTGGACAGCAGAGAAGAGGGTGGGGGGAGATGTCGGACAGTGTAACACATGACAAAATAATAATAATTATGAATTATGAAGGGTTCATGAGGGAGGGGGTAATGGAGAGGGAGGGGGGAAAAGGAGCAGCCAATATTAAGGGCTTAAGTAGAAGGCAAATGTTTTGAGAAGGATGAGGGCAACAAATGTACATGTGTGCTTGACACAATGCATGGATGTATGGATGGTGATAAGAATTGTAGGAGCCCCCAATAAAATGATTAAAAAAAGAAAAGAGAACATCTGTTTTCCAAAAGATTAAAAATACAGTTCTATGTCATCTACTAGTAAGTAGGTAACTTTCCTCCCCGGATTCAAATTGCTGAGCTTTTATATTAGGAAGAACTGTAATAAGGAACATTTGCAATGGTCTGAGAGTCTGAGAAACAACGTAAAAGGTCAGAGGTAACTGAAGATCATCTCCCTCCACTTAGAAGCAGAAGTTACCAAAGATGTTCTCATCAGAAAGACAAAACAAAAACAGAAGAAAATAACAAGGAGAAAGAGGAGGCATATGAAAGAAATACCTCAATTGTCCTAACATTTTTCTTGATTATTTTATTTAAATATTCTGATATTGATCTTTTACTATGAATTTCTCGCTTTGTATTTGAGCATTTGAAAATCAATTTATTGGCATATAGATCAATTGACATTGATGTACAACTTAATCACTCAACCATATTAAGAAGAGCTGTGCAATCATCATCACAATCAACTTCAGAACATTTTCTTCTTATACTCCTGGCTATCAGCTCTTCATCCTCCCCTCATCCTCCCCTGCCAGACCCTGGGTCATTGTTACTCTCGTTACAGTCTCTATAGATATACCTATTCTATATAGAGAATTCTATATAGGATTCTATATAGAGAAAATCATATGAAACAAAACTAGAAGCAAACAAACAGCAAACCCACAATACTGATTAGACAAAACATAGCAAAACCTCAGTAGAAAAGCAGAAGATATTAAAAATTAAAACAACTTTAAAATGGATCAAAGGGGAGATCAAATGATAAGACATTACATTTTAATGTAATTACATATGCAATAATTGACTTTTCACTGCTGTTTGTCTGAGAGCAAGGCGACTTACCTCCATGGACTAAGTTTAGCGGGAATTCACTGAAGCCTTAATCCACGTGGGAATGCTGCAAATGGATTTAGTCAAATCTAGCTCTCTGAAAACTAGGTACTTAAAATTTCAACTTTGATACTGTGGTAGTTACACAAATCTGTTGTCAAATTGAGTATTAAGAGTGAAGGGGTGGAGTTTAGCCTGTCAATCAGGTACCAGCTTGATGACCTCATTTGGAGACACAAAGGAGATAAATAGTTTGCTGGAAGCAGGACACAGGCTCAGTCCCGGTGAAACAACCTCATTGACAAGCCACAAGGAGACAGCTGATGGAAGCCAGTGCCCTGAGCTGGAGGAACCATGTGGAGACCCCTGCCATCACTGAAATGCTTATAACGCCACTGGATCTACAAGACTTCCCACCCCACTGGCCTGTGATTTTCCTGCATTCGGTGTCATTGCATGTGTTTTGAGTCGGAAGAGGACTTTACAGATTTGCATTGGACATATGGGCTAATATCAGACTTATGGACTTGATCTGGACTGGACTGGGCTGTTTTCTCAATATTCAACTGCCCTTGTATATAAAGCTCTTTCTCATTCACATATGAGTCTCTGTGAATTTGTTTCTCTAGCCTACCCAGACTAACACAGATACAATTCCATACTTAGAATTTGGATTTTATTATTTATGATCTGTAGATCACATAGACTATTGTACTTCTTCTATGTGGACTTAGTTGATACTAAGTGGCTGGTTGCTGTTTTGTTTATTTATTTTCTTTCAAACCATTTTATTAGGACCTAATCCAGACATTGTACAGTTCCACAGTTCAAGCATGCCAAGCAGTGCTGTACAACAGCTGCCACCACCACTTTCTAAACATTTTCTTTTTGGACTCCTTGCTATTAGTTCCCCTTTACCTGCCCCTGCCACCAACCCCACTCATCTTCCCAGCCGTACTCCCCAGTAACCTTTAGTCTAGTTATTTTTTTGATAGGTTCACCCAATCTGGGTTTCATATATCAAAAACTATAGAAAAACACATAACATTGAATCAAGAAAATTCCCAATTACAACAAAATGCAACAGAGATAAACCCCAATGTGAAAAAAAACACAGAAAATATTAAAAACCAGATCAAGCCTGAAGTATATCAAAAGGAAAATCAAATGGCAGTTTTAATTACTCAAGTCAGATTTATCATTTTAATTTACTCTAGTCATCTCTCCGATATTCTGTTTGATAAGCAGGTTATTCCCATTCCTCAAAAATCACTGGAGGTTTATTCTCTGTGTAGATCCTGAAAAACTATTTTGAGCTTCTGCTGTCATCTATTGCCTTCTGCACACCAGAATCTCACAATTTAAACTCTGATACTCTTTCTTCTTTGGGTTTGGATTATATAATTAACAGTCCTTGGGTCATGAATCTTGGTGTGCTTCTTTCATGTGGGCTTACTGAATGTCTTACTTAGCTACCTGCTTGTTTGAAAACAAGCCTTTAAAACTGTAATGCTATTCTTTCCAGTAGCTGGACCCCATTGAATTTCTTCACCACACTTTGTTATTTTACCCATATAACTTGGTTAAAAATGTAGTTAAAAACTAAGTTTTAACTAGTTTAAAACTAAGGTATAACTTAGTCAAAAACTTATGAATATTCTCTGAGTTACTTTTAAATATGCTTTTCCCATACGGAGAAAAATATCATGTCTCGCGTCCTCATAATCCACATGAGGTGACAGTGAGAATTCAAAAGAGTCAGTTTAATGCAGTCGTCAAAGGACGAATTATGGTGTGGTTTCTACCTGAAGGGCAGCTCCTGGACATGAACTCCCAGGGCAGCCTTAGAGAAAGGCCTCAGGTTTTAGTTCAGGGTTTTTTTGTTGGTTTTTGTTTTTGTTTTTTTCCTAACATAAATCAAAAGTGATGGGGCATTGCAATTTCCTCCAAACTAAATTTATCTTGGAAGGGAGACAAAACAGGGATGACTTATGAACTGAAGGACATTTTCCATTATATTCCAAGCATAAGTAAACAAAGAATGAAACAAAAAATATGTATGCCCTCTTAACAAACCTTAGGGAGCTATCGCCATTGGAAGGATTTGCTACTACATGGAAAATGATCAAAATGGATTAGTCCCATGGAACAAAAAAAGCAACCTTATAAGCCCAAGCAACACAATTTTATAGAAATTCCTTAAAAGGAACTTTCAAAATCTCTTTGTTCTAGGTTTATCAGCTTGGGAGCTTAATTTCCTATAAAGCTTTAGAAAGAAAGCAATTTGTGGCACACAGTCTGCTGAGTTCAGATCTCTTAATCATTCTAAATTGTTGGGTTCTGTTTAGAAAGATCTGCTTACAACTGTCATTGTGTAAGAGTAAACACAAGAGCTCTCAGATAGTTCTTTGTGCCTCAGATCTGCCAGACATCATTCATGTCTCATTTTACAGGCAACCTCTTGGTAACACCACAAATTTCTTTTAAAAACCAAACCACAATGCAAGGCACATGTACAAATCTTTGCATGTCTGGGCTTCCCTACAAGGGCATTGGATTTTACTCCCACCACAATTTTTGTTTACAGCTTGCTAGATTTACAGCCTCTTTCCAAACATCTGCCGTCATCTCTCGCTCGCCCTCCATTCCTCCTTCTCTCTCTCAGGAAAAGCACAATATTCTCAATACGAAATAAAGCAGGTATTTTTTCCTAATAAATCTTAAAGGGAGATGTTCTTTCTGTGCTTTTAACAGTGATAAATGGAAAGCTTAAGAATTGAATGCTGGCAAGAGAACTAGGATGTGTGTTCTAGAGCTTTAATATTTTAGGGAGTTCCATTTGCTGCAAACCAGAATAACAGAACTGTGAATCCATCCACGACTCATACTAATTCACTGAGACTGAAATCAGTTCTATTCTTTTTCTGTCTTTTTTTTTTTTTTTTTGCTTCTTCAGGAACATGGACTCTTGGAGCCAAATATAATTTTATGGCTTCATCCCGTAGCACACTCTAATTTTAGACAGAAGTTCCCATATGCAAATCACTATTTCACACTGGCATCCCTTGATGGCACAAAGACTTTAAATTCTGCACTACTGACTGAAAGCTTGGCAGTTCAAACACACCTACAGCTCCCTCAGCAGCCAGGCCTGCAGATCTGCGTTTGAGAGGCCCCACCTGTGAATACCTGTGGTGAAGTTCTGCTACTCTCTATTTGTGGTGACTCCATGCGTTTGAATAAACGTGATGACAATTAACAATAAATCATTCTCACACAGGGAATAGCTGGTATTTCCCTCCTCATAGGCTGATTTCAATAAATTTCCTGTTTTCTGTTGTGCGATGGCCTATTTTCTCAATGTTATATTTCCTAGCATAAGTCCATCATGAGGATCACACAGATTATCAAATGTGGAATGATATTGGAAAATATTATCGATAACCCAAATGCAAGTCACTGCATATTTAAACTTAACAAATAACTGTAGGACACAAATCCAAAAAATACTCAAAGAGTCTTTTACAGATTTTTATAACAATCTGT